TTATTAGAAAATAAAATGACTGCTAGATGGATTGGGAGAGCAGCAGATCAGTGATGAATTGATACAGACTTGATCCTGATACCTTACCTGCTGACTCGTGAACTTCCTGTAGGAGAGTCCAGCTGGGTACATGAGAATAATATGACTGTTGTAGGAGTTTTCACCTCTGTTCTCCACTGTGACTGTGACATTCAAAAGCTCATCAATGCCCACTTTAACCTCTAAGGATCTGGCAGAGTATAAAGGAGGATGAGAACAAAGGAAAAGGAAAGCAGCCACAAGCAAAGCTTAAGTCTTGTAATTCTGCCACACCTGGTGAAGTTGAAATCCACTTTCAGGTTATCAACACACTTGTTGTCATTGCCACAGTTGATCTCAAACCCTAACTGTGGAAGAGAGCATAATGGAAAAAAGTATTTATATGACGTTTTATTTACGGATTGCAATTTGAACATTGTATAGCCAAATCCAATGACCAATTTTTGTGTGCTGCCATTTAGTGGAGGCTTTGTGTTGTTGTTACAGGAAACAAAATAATTTCTGTTAACATTCTTGATCCACTTATGGAAGACATCTTGGTCCTCTGGACGCTCAGGGAAACAATTTAAAGTGTATAATCTAAGACACAAACTATAATTTTAAGGTAAAGAACTATGTAGAGTAGGACTCATTTTTCCAAAAACTGATGCCTAGCAGCTTGTAGACAAAATAATTAAAATTCAGGGTGTGGAGCAAGTTGTTTTGTTAATAGACTTACAGGATGAATGGTTGTTCTTTTAGCCTGTGGGGACAGACTTGGTTTGGGATCTGTGTTGGAAGATAAACCATCAAATGTGAATTTGAGCTCATTGGAGAGCACATTGAGAGAGTCTTCAGGACAGGCCTGCAAGAAGAGGGATGAATGGTTTAGATTCAGTGTTAAAGGACTCTTTGCATTGAAGTTCTATTGATTGTGTTGTTTATGTTTTGTTTTGTTTTTTTTCCAGATATTGTTAGATTTTACCTCAATATAGAATTTTACAGTTGAACACTGTCTGTTTTTTAAGTCTATAGTAAATGATCCAGACTGCTCTTGTTGTTTCCCACTGATGTATGCTCGGTTGTTTGGAGGTTTCCGAGTGGCATCCACTGTTAAAGTATAATGAATCCTTGCTTGAGCTGGAATAAATCACAAATGGATTTCAATGCTATGAACTTATATAAATAAAAAAACATTAAGCTGATGGGCAGTGACTTTGTAGTTTAGAAAAGGAGAGGAGAATGATGAACCTGTGTTGACTGTAGACACTCTGCTCATGGTAAAGCAGAGTTCAGCTGTGTTTTCGAGTGGTTTTGAGCAGTCTACATTCTGAGTAAGGATTTGCTTTGGGCTGAATGAAACGTCAGTTTTCACGATTACTATGGGCCTTGATCTGGAAAGTAGTAATATACATGTGAACTACTTTTACCTTCATAATTAATAACATACTAACATTGGGTATCATTAGTGGTGTTCTCACATGAATTAGTAACACGATTTTACAAAAGTAAGCACAACACATTTTATAAACCACTACTTCTTAAAGGTTTTTGGTCACTTAATAGTATTTTTAAGATGGCAGAAACATTGCCAACAATAACACATGGCTGGACTGTCTTGGACTTACCTCAATAAAACAACTTTACCCTTTGAACCCACCGCTAAGTCAGGCAGTCCATCACCACTCTGGTCAAAAGATGACTGACTGATTGACACGCCAAAGAACTTCAGTCCTGACTCGACCTCAGAGCCAGTAATTCTCTGTGTACATGGAAATATTTTATCTAATCAAGTTGCAGATTTTGTCAATATTGCGATTACATGATAGATGAGTTTAGACATCATTGTGAGCTCTCT